CAATGATGGTGCCAACTTGGGCCAGTGAAGCAACGTCCTCCACAACTAGACTGAAGAACAAAAGGACAGCAACTTGTCTGTTTCCCTTTCCCCAATTCCCCAATGCTGTTCCCCTTCCCCAATTCCTCAATAAAAATCTTTAAAATAAATAAATAAATATTTTCTTTTCAAGGCACATATTTGGAAATGGAAAAAGCTATTTGAAATGTTTCAGAAAATGGTAAGTGTTTTTGACAGCTAATGAGTACTCTTCTACAAAGATATTTTAATTGAAATTAAGCAACAACAGAAAGAAGGGAAGGAAGGAAGAAAGGGAGGAAGGAAGGGAGGGAGGGAGGGAGGGAGGGAAAAAGTAATTAGTTGTCTCAATAGCTAAGCAGTTTTGTGGTTGACCCCAGTAGTATTTTGGCAAGAGAAAAATTGTAATTTGTTAATTCTCTTTTGATCTTATTTGTTAACATTATGTAAATAATACTGTAAAACTTGAAGGAAAAGAATATTACTATATAGTAGTAATAGTTCTTAAAGGTTGTAATGTTGTTAATTAGGTCTTATGATAATTTTTTGTATACTTAATGAGCATTTAAAGGATTAAGGTTTCTCAGATATATTTTAAAGTTGCCTTGACTGTTGACATATTAAATGTGCTAATGTCCTGAAAAAAAGAGAATGAAAAGTCAAGTCACTGAGTTGAAAGAAATATTTGCAAAATATGTATCTGATAAACAACTTGTGTCCAAAATACATAAAGCACTCTTAAAACTCAATAATAAGAAAACAAACAAATTAAAAATTGGAAAAAATATCTGAACAGACACTTCACCAAAGAAGATATACAAATGGGCAGTAAGCCTATGAAAAGATGTTCAACAATATGTTGTCAGAGAATTGTAAATTAAGACAGTAATAAGATAGAAACCACCACACACCTATTAGAATGGCTAAAATCCACAATGCTGCCATCACCAAATGTTGGTGAAGATGTGGAGTAGCAGGAACTCTCATTCACTGGTGGGAATACACAATGAATGATTCAGCCACTTTGGAAGACAGTTTGACAGCTTCTAACAAAGCGAAATATAGGCTTACGATATTACAATTATTACAATAATTGCACTCATTGGTATTTAGCCAAATGAGTTGAAAAACTGGAGTCCACAAAAAAAACAAACACCTGCACATGAATGTTTACAACGGCTTTTATTCATAACTGCCAAAACCTGAAAGCAAGCAAGACGTCCTTCATTAGGTGAATGGGTAAACAAAACTATCATAAATACATACAATGGAATATTATTTAGTGATAGAAAGAAATGAACTATCAAACCATTTTTTAAAATGGAGGAACCTTGGGCTGGCCGAGTGTCGCGTTGGTTAGTTGGCTCCAATTCCCCAATAAAATCTTAAAAAAAAACAAAAACAATGGAGGAACCTTAAATACATATTGCTAACTGAAAAAAGCCAGACTGAACAGGCTACATAATGTATAACCCTAACTACATGACATACTAGAAAAGGCAATTGTATAGAGACAATGAAAAGATCAGTAGTTGCCAGGGGTTCTGGTAGAAGAAGGGAAAGATAAAAATGTGGACCACAGAGGAGTTTTTAGGACTGTGAAGCTATGCTGTAAGATACTGTAATGGTAGATATATACATGACATTATACATTTGTCAAAACCCATAGGAAATACAACACAAAGAGTGAACATCAATGTCAACTATTGAATTTTAATGACAATGTAGGAATATTGGTTTATCAATTCTAAAAAATGTACCAAACTAATGAAAGATGTTAATAAGAGGAAAACTGTACTGTGGGGGAAGGATGGGGGGGGTGGATATGGGAACGCTGTACTTTCTGCTCAATTTTTCTGTAAGCCTAAAATTGCTCTTAAAAAGTAGTCTATTAATTTAAAAA